AGAACTTTGCTGGGTGAAATTGTTCTTCAGATTGATGAAGAATGTGTTGTATAAGGTTCTATATTTGAAAGGGTTCTGCTGTTTTTATGATGTCAAGCTTGTAACAATAGAAGAACCCTTATAGGTGCTATACATTAATGGGACTCTAAGGAGCTGTAAATAAAAATGTGTCCAGAATGATAAAAGAGACGTAGAAGATTCTAGAATGATGGAAAAAAATTTATAGCATAGAAAACTGAGTATCCAGAATTCATCATATTTCACCTCTAAAGGCAGATAACCTGACAAAAACATGAATGTAAATAGATAGTATATTATTTATCTTTCAATAAATTCTTGCTCACAGAATTTGTGAAAAATTAAAAATTGCCTATTGGAGAATAGCTGGGAGTTATTATTGTATATAAAATCACAAAGATAATGATAATATGGCAAGTGATTATAATCTTTGGGCTTGTGTATTTCAAAAAAACATCATAAATGAAATAATGAATGTGCTGTATGAATTGAACCACATTTAACTAATGTGGTTAATAATGTTCAGAGCTCATAGGTCACCTATTGTGGCTCTGCAGTACTACACTGCTCTCATACCAAACCCATCATAATGTACTCATGATGGATTTGATATCTCATCCAGTAGGGCACGACATAGAACACTAGAAAAACATACTGACCTAATAAAATGAGTTCTATCCTAACTGAGTGCTTAAATAAGTGTCATAACGTCCGACTGAAATGTGGAAGTTTTGTTGTCTATTCAAAATTCACCTTAATTTCAGGAGTGCTTGATCAATACTTTGTGTGTTTATACTGATGTAGTGTGACAAACATGACGGTAAATGAACAAACAAATAAATTCCTATGTTATTATCATTTTAATGCTTTTTTCTTGAAAGTCAAATTTTCTTGAATTCAAATGCTGTTTTCTGTTCACTTAGCAATTTCTTTTCATGACTGATTCTGTTAAGTCCTCAACGGATCCCTTGACAAATATATCAAAGTAAAATCGCATTACCAAGCATTTTTTCTTCCTATGCAGCTAGCAAATCAACTTTAAGACTGAATTTACAATGTGATGCTAGCAGTGGTGCTTACACAGTTGCATGCAAAAGTCTGGGTGGCCCTTTATTTTCTAAGTTAAATAAATGCACATCTTCTACAGAGAACACAATTCTGCACGAATCATGCACAATTATTAACATGTTGGAAAAAAATAAAACAAACGGTGGCCATAAAAAGTTATGGCACATTTTATATTTTATGTTTTTTATATTTTGTGTTCCAATATGTTCAAACAGTTAGAGCAGCAACAGATCAAGAGTGAAACACAAATACTGTCTGCTGCAGTTGTGTCCATTATGGTCTTCTATACTGCTTAGGTCTATGACTGTTTCTTTTCTAAACGATAAACGCTCAAGTGTCAACCATGGTTATATTCAGTGCTTATAATCCTGCTGGAGAAACTTCAAACTGCTAGGGAGTCCCAGCTGTCATACAAAAAATGGTTGTAGTTAGAGTGTGTATGAATGTGTGTGTGTGTGTGTGTTTGTGCTCTGTATTACTTCTCATACTCTCACTGGAACAGTGATGCTCTCATTCAAAGCACTGAAGTTGATACTCACAGCCATAAGGCTACTGATAGTCATTGTAACATTCTCAATCATCTGCAGAGTCCAAACTTACAGAACTTTATCTGACTGCATTTAGTCTTTAAATGGATTTTTAAATGACTCAATATACTAATTGCTTCAAAATGGATGTGGTTATGTGATCACACTTGTCTCTTCTACATACACACGCTCACATTCATAGTCACCTTGTATTTACGCTGGACGTCATGCTGCCTCCTGAACATCCACTCTTTGCTTAGACAGCCCTCTCTCTCCATTCTTGACCTCCATCTGCACTGACTAAAAGCATAAAACAAACAAACCCATAACATACACATATGAAACTTGTTTTGTATGTAAATCAATATGAGTTGAAACTGTATACGCACATACGTACTTACCTAAGCTGAAAGATGAAGCATCTCCTATCAAGCAGGAGGGAAGCCAAAAGGTTGTCATGGAAACTGTTGCTGCACATGCTGGTGTAGGCTCCTCCTCCTCCATCTGCACTGAGCACCTGACACACTGCCATTGCTCCAGATAACTGATATACACTCGCTAAGAAATTACACACGGATATTAACAAAGACCAGTGGATAGACACAGTATACTACCGTTTAAATGTGTGGAATCACTGTTTGCAGTTATATATAAAGACAATTTTGCTGCAGATGCATGTATAAAACCATCATAATACGATGCTGGAACTCTACAGCTTCATAAGTTTCTAATAATCAGTAAAAGTACAATTTTTAATGTATTCAGAATGATGAATTGAGCTGTAGACAAATCTTCAATATTTGTGAAAGCTGTATAACATCAAGAATTAAGTTTTTTCTGTAAACAAATAATTTCAGTATAGTCTTGTTACTTTTTGCTGTTCCCAAAAAACTTGAGACATAGAATAAAACATCTAAGATACCTTCTGTTGGCCTGTTTATGCTATTTCTATACTGTAAAAGTTATTACTGAATAAAATGACTATTAATACGACAAGTGATTCCAAATGTTTGAATGATAGTGTATGTAGATCATGTACTTCCTTTCCAGCAATGTGTATACATTTGTGTGATTATGGGGATCTGACTTATGATTATGATTATGATTATGAGGATACTACTTAGGCTGGTTTTGTCAGGCAAGCTGTAGCGGAGTTTGAGTGACATACATTACTTGAGGTTCTTGGTACTGGGGACTTGGTACAGGAAGTTTGTGTGTTAGTCAGCAGGAACATAGCTTGTGGTCTCGGTAGTGCAGTGTGACCAGTTTGTACCCCAACACAAAACACTCTTCATTACTACGCAAACACACAAAGAGCTAACAAGCCAACAAATAACGCAAGCTTACAGCCACCAATTAACATAATTCAAACTACGTGCCTAAATCAAACTTTGTCAGGTTAAATAATCTTAAAAAGACTTGCTCATGTGGTTTGACATATTGTTATCTATAAAAATGAACAAAAGTACAGGCAAAATTCTGACCTCAAGATGGCTGCTACTACTGTTTATAGTTATGCATTGCATCCGTTTTTGTACATGGAACACTTGGTCATACAGTATCAGAAACCACATAAGTGAGTTTAATTCAGCTTCTTCTAAGTAGATCATAATCAAAAAGGAAAAGCATGCAGGAGGAGAAGAATAGGAGAAAGAAAAGCATAACAGGGACAGCAGTGCTAATGTTGGCAATAATCTAGATTCAATTCCATATCAAGCATTTAACTGGAATCCTATATAAGATTGGTGTGTGTACTGAAAACTCCACTGACACAAATTCTGTACAGAAACTCTACAGGCAGTAACACTACATAACAGTACGGAAGACAGGTCTGTATGCACAGCTACAATACAAACAATAAGATTCAGAATCACTTACCACACAGTCTTGTATCAAGGAGGTGGAGCTTCTCACACACATGTCCAGACATGCAGCTTCCAATACACAAATTGTTGTACATGTTATTCAGAGATACGTGTGCTTTTTTGGTTCACTTGTGAACAAGCCGGCTCTTTCAACTGTTTTGTTTTGGTTTTCCCTTAAGATGCATTTGTAATTAAACAATCATTTTAGACAATTAATCAATAAAACCACTACGTAAAATGTGGTTTATTTAACAGTAAATCACCAATGTAGAGAGAAAAACTTTAATTATTATTGTTATTTGTTTTTCTTTGCTATGACAGTAACAAACACAATGCAATATAATGTAAGTCTTGTTAATTAGACAGTTTCACCAAAACAATTCAGATTGGCATCAACAAAAAAAAATGCAATAATACTGCTAACTTTAAAAAACTGCCAAAAATCTGACTCACTGAAATGAGCCAGAAGACACATACTACTGTGGTTTTCCTCATTTCCAGTGAGGAGCAGGTTTCTGGAGCACTTTTAAGTTGCTAGAGTTTGAGTGGCGAGTCTACTCCCTGTTGGACATTTAGCTTAATGTCTAGATCTCTCCATGCTCATCAATTCCATTTAAATAAAGCATATACAAGAAAGAGGGTGAAAAAAAAAGGGTTTCTAGAGGACCAATACATAATTTCACTGCTTGAGTACTGATGTGACTTCAGAGAAGCTACTATAAAGAAACACACAGCTGTGGTATCTAATGCAGGGGTGGAGAGCAAGCTTCCTGTACGGTTCGGTGATTTTTCTGCTCAAACACGCCTGTTTCATCTAAGCAGTTACTTAGCAAGTTTAGTAGGTTTAGAGCAGGGAAAACACTGAACTGTGCTGGACTCTGGCCCTCAGCTCCCCACCCTGATATAATGCTATAGTTACTACGCAGATCACAGGAAGTTTAATAATCAGCTGAACTGGAATGAAACATTTTGAGTTTAAATATTAAGGCCGGCAAAGTTGAAAAGTTGACAAAATTAACAATTGTTTAATGCTGTATTACTGAGGGTGTGGGAGGACATCCTCTATTCATAACCATCATTCATCGCAAGACCTAAGCGGTACCTATCTAATCTTTGTTTTTTTCCTGTTGGCTCCTTTCCAGCATTTGCTACATTCTCTAAACATCGTAATGTTTTGACTGAACTGACTAATCAAAGAATATGAAACAAATGTATGTATCAGAAGGAGGAATGAAAATGGTATATTTGATGAAAATAGTGATGTATAAACACAATTTACACAGAGAGTTGAAAGAAAATTATGTCTTATAAATCGAGTTCTCATCGTGACTTGACTGCAATAAGATGGGCAATGTGGCAAAAATATATTACGACACATCACAACTTGATACGCATCATAGTATTTAGCTTTTCTAAGGTTTGTGAACTAAGTGCCACATTACAGCACATGAATACAATGATTTCTTTAATTCAATGATTGCAAAATTTAACTATTGATAAACAAAACTGGTAAAAAAAAAATAAAATAAAATAAGATGTTTTAATGGGCTAACATCAAGTCAGCAACACTAATGTCTAAAACTATCCAGACACCCCTTCTAATTAGTAAATTCAGTTAGTAAACTTGAATAAGTGAGTACTTTATGGTCCATCCATTAGTGACAAAGGCGTTCAACCGCGCACACACAGCTTGTATAACCGCCATAGAAAAGCTTTACCAATAGAATGGGGCACTCTGGAGCAGCCACATATGAGCCTAAGATCACCATATCATGATACTGTCCTTCTCTAGACCGCATGGTAAGTTGCCATGACTGTGCAGTTATTTAAATGTTGTGTTTTGAGTAAAACAACAGCTGCTTTAATGATTAATATGACCTTAGGTCTTCAGTGTTTTGGGGAAACTAGACTTGAGTCAAACCAAAAACTACGTTTCACTGTGTCATCAGAGCCACTTTAATCAATCAATAAAATCAATATACAACAGAAAAACACATCCTAATCAACTCAAGGCAACCCAAGTGCTTCAATTGTGCATATTAATATGAATATCAAACACTCTCTTAAAGAATTCCAAACATAAAGCTGAACTGATCCTCCTCCTCCTGAAACTCATCCCACAGAGCAAAACTCCACCCTTGACCTACATCATCTTCTTCTCCCATGAATAAATCTTTGTCCATCCGCAGCATCTCAAGCAGGTCATCTAGACTGTAGGATAGGAAATCACTGTTACCATAGGAACCACCTTTGTCATCGCAGACACTGCACCCCGGTTCTGGCTTTCCCTTCATCTTATCGCTGCACTGGTCCATGTGCGTCAGGTCATAGAGTCTCCGCCTCTCTTGGTCGGACAACACCTCATAGGCTGAGAAAGAAAAAAAAAGCAGGCCAATCATATTGGCTGCTACAAAGCCCAATTGAGCTTATTGGCAACTGCAACATTTAAAGGGAATTCCACCGAATTTTCTAAATTTCTGCATAATTCAATCACTGAGGGGAAAAAGTCATTCAAAGTGGTTTGACATAGAGAAACTTACTGACTGTGACTGTCTTTACAATGGTGGTGATCGGAACCAGAGGTCACGCAAATACAGCCATTTTATTTACTATTCAAAATGACCAGTGAATGTGCATGTGTCCTACGAGTTTTTATAGGCAATGTTGATAATGGCTAAACAGTGGTAAATTTGCCTTACAATGACCTGTTCATGAATGGATTTCAAAAAAACCTGTTGTACAACAAGGCATCAGGCATTTGCTGTGAAGAATCCAAACCCTCACTGGGGAGGAAGCTTTAACAGAAATGACATGCTTCTGACATTTGGTACCTACCACCACGGTTGTGAACAATTCTGACTGTGTAAATTTCTCTAGAATGAAGCATTTCATATCAAACCACTCCAAATGACTTTGTGTACATCTTACGCATTTTATTATTTTGAAATTTTAAAAAATCTGTGAAGTTCCACTGTAATACCCTTCTGTTTCTTGTTCATAAAATTGAGTAAACTGTTAAAACTTTTTTTTAAGATTCACAGATGAATTAACACAGTGGTACAAATTCGTTGTATATATTTAGGGAAAGTCAGTGAACCTGTTTAAAGGGGTCAGTGTGTGAATTAATGTGCATAAAATTAAAGGGAAAAATCTACAAACGGATGTAACATAATTGTTACTTAAGCATGACTGAGCATGTTCTCACTTAAGAGGGACTGTGTGTGGTGTGTATACACCTTGTGCAAGCTGGGTGAAGATCTGTTGTGCATCTGGGCTGCGATTTCTGTCAGGGTGGAATTTGAGGGCCAGCTGACGAAACGCTTTCTTTATGTCTTTCTCTGTAGCAGCACAAGGAACTCCTAACACTGAATAAAAATCACTCACACACTCAGTAACACATGCACACAGCAGCAGGACACACACATGCACTGCCAGTGCCATCGTCTGTCTGCTATGCCACAGAAATGAGCAAAAGCAAAGTCACCACATACACACACCAAAATACACAAAGTAAAATTACACCTCCTAGAAATGTGCAAGCAATACACATCATAAAAGGTGGTGGTTGCACTTTCATGATAAAAATGATAACTGTGGGTAATTCACAAAGCAGAACTTTTCAGAGAATAGAATCAGTGTAAAGGCTGCAGGAATGTTTCTGACCTCTGATTCCACTGACATAATATTAAGACAACGTACGAGACAATGGGCCTGATTCACCAATATCTTCCTAATTGTTTTTCTTAAATTTGTTTATGAGAAAGATCCTAAGAACAAATCCCAATTAAGAAAACATTGGTGAATGTCAGAAACTTTATCAAAACTGTGTAAGTGGGTTTTAAGAATGAATTTCTTTTTAAGATTGGTAAAGCATAAGACAATGTCTAATTCTGTTTGACAGTATTTTAAAGTACAATCCAGCCAAAATGAAAAACTGAATAATCACTACACCTGTTGTAAATATGCTTACTCATATCCTACAGCAGTGTCGTTGTAGTCTTTAGAGTGAGGTATTCTAGTTTAAAGACTTCTGATGATGCATCTTGAAAGCAAAAGGAACTTTTGAAAAAGCTGCTTTGGGTTGGTTTTTCGGGGAGAATTGATTTTATTTATTTTTTCGCAAGACGGTGATTGAAAAAGGAAAGGCAAATAACTATTGTTACTGCTAGGAAGCCGAATACCTTATTGCAGCTGTATAACTGTAGTAACTGTATTCAAAGCGCCATTACAATGAAGAAAATTGATTATTTAAACATCAAAAATGATGGACAACAAAGTAGCTAACTTTAGAAATGTCTCTTTAGTCCATTTTATTCTACATGAAATTAGAATCACTTTTTTTCTTCCTGATTTTGTTTGATGAATCCAATAAAAGCCAATTCAACCTTGGTTACTTTTATTAGCATATAGCACAGTGGCTAAGTTAGCAGTCAGAATTGGCGGACACCACAGGAATATACAATGGCTGTACGAGGTATTTGAATAATGCATGCTGGGTATTGTAGTGAGAGAACACTGCAGCAAGAAAACATAAAAATGATATAAAATCATCAGCTCTATCAAAGTTATGAGGTTGGGAGATATAATACTCAAACAAATAAGATATTGAACTGTATGCTTTTCATTGCGCAGGGCATTAAGCAGTAAAGCAGTATTGGTAGCTGATTACTTAATGAAGAGCTACAAATCAGAACAATGACACACACACTTTTCAGCAACCTCACATATTCCGTCCTATGTCCTTATTTATAAAGGTAAAACGGAAACGCAAAGAAAGTGAAGCATGTTCGTTTCACTGACTGCAATGTTTTTTTTTTAACTTAGCACACAACTCAAGCACACAACTTACACATAACTACGCTACACTTAAAGAGATTTTTCTCAGAAAACTACGACCACAACATGGTGAAAGTGCTTTCGACCCAGTGTCGATAAATGCAGGCTTAATATGATATTTTAGGAGCATTATTTAGTACTACCTTTGCAAACGCTCCATGTTCTCACCTCTACAGCACAACTCCGACCTCCGGCCACCAGACGGCGCTGCGTTTTTCACGAAGTAATTACCCGCTGCTCGATTCCAACTCCGGCGCAACTCGTTGGGCTTTGGACTGTAAACAGACGGCGATGGCTGCTGAGAGGGGCGGAGGCGACAACAACATCCACGACGACATGGGCAACCAGCTGCAGCTCGTACCTGGTGAGTGGGCTGGAACCGCACTTCTGAGATACGGAGACACTGCAGGCTGTAAAACAGAGCTGCTCAAACTCACAGCCGCAGTTTTACTCCTCATAAACGCTGCTGAGGCCACAGCTGCCTGACTGGGTGGCCATCGAGCGGTCAGACATGACAGCTACCAGGTTTGGACTAATGAGCCACAAATAACCAAGAATGTGTGTTCACACTGTGTCTCTGCCCCTCCGGTCTGCTCCTGCTGGAGGAAGTAGACTCGTAGAATCGTGCGCTTTAGTTGGCGAATAAGAGTGCAAAACCTGACACTGACTCGGCAGAAAAGTGAAAATGAAAGCCAAGTCATAACTCTCTCCCTCTCTCTCTCTTTCTCTCTCTATCTATCTCTCTCTCTCTCTCTCTGTGTGTTTCTCTCGTTTTTCTCTCGCTCTGTATGTCTCTCTCTGCATCTCTTTCTATCACTCGCTCTCTGTCTCTCCCTATGTCTATGTCTGTCTTGTTTGTCGCTGTCTCGCTGTCTGTGTCTCTCTCTGCCTATCCATCTCTCGCTCACTCCTCTCTCTCTCTCTCTGTATGTCTATCTATCTCTCTCACTCTGTATGTCTGTCTCTTTCTGCATGCCTGTGTCTCTCACTGTGTTTATGTATGTCTATCTCTCTCACTGTCTGTCTCTCTCTCTCGCTCTGTCGGTGTCTCTACCACTCTATGTGTCTCTCACTGTGTCTGTGTCTCTCTCGCTCTGTATGTGTCTTACACTGTGTCTGTGTCGCATTCTCTGTCTGTCTTTCACTGTATCTGTATCACTTTCTCTGTGTCTCTCTCTTGCTCTGTCTGTGTCTCTTGCTTTCTGTCTGTCTCTTTCTTGCTTTATGTCTTTCTCTCTTGCTTTATGTCTGTCTCTTTCTGTTTGTCTCTCTCTCTCTCTCTTGCTTAATATATTTGTCTCTCTTTCTTTCTCTCTCCCTCTCTCTCTCTAGAAAATGAGGAAGAGGAGGAAGATGATATGGAAACTGAGGATCGTGATAGTGAGGATGCAGAAAAACCGAGCATTATCAACTTTGACCCCAGCCTGCCAACTTCACATGCTGTGAGTGTCAGTTAAATCATCAGACTTGGCAAACATGTAGAAACTTATGAAATGAGATTTTGTATACAGGGCTTCATGTAACGTATGTGATGTTTTCATGGTTCAGAATGGATGCTGTAAGGATGTACCTGTGAAAATAATAAGAATGTAAGACTATTTATGTGCGTGCGTGTGTGTATTAGTACCTGGGTTCAGACATGGAGGAGTTCCATGGCCGTACTCTTCACGATGAAGACAGTGTGCAGAATCTGCCTGTTCTCCCTCATGCTGCTCTCATACTTATACCGGGCCAGACGCTCCCGCTGCAGCTGTTCAGACCGCAAGAGGTCAGCATGTTCCGCAACCTGGTCAGCCACGACCGCACATTCGCCGTTCTTGCACACAGGTAAGCCCATCAATGTGGCTTACAAAGTGATAAAGGGCTTAAACTCAACACTGTAGTCAGTGACTACGTTGCAGAATGATGCTTAAATACAGTTTATGAAAATTATGTTACATAAGGTTTATTTCTTGTCAGTTGTCTGGGGTGCTCAATGCCATCAAGCAGCCAGGCTTTTACTTTTACACATAGAAGCATATTCAGCTCTTTCATTCCACAGTGGTAAAAGACCTTTGTGGTTGCATGTGCTCTAATCCAATTCTTGACATCAGTGCTTAATTTCTTCTCTGCTAATAAGAGTGTAGTGGTGTCTGTACTCATAGATCTCGTTCATTTAATCTTGAATTCAGAATCTGCAAAGCCAAAATAGGGTAATTCAGTTTGTAGTTAGGAATTGCATATTAAATTTAGACTCCTGACATGTCATTTTGATCTCTTGAAACATACTGTCATGATCTGTGGTTCATGTCAAAAACAAAGGGTATTTGTGCTAAACAAGTCAGGCCATTTTCACATATGCACTACTTCACTACTGTCTTTTGCTAGATAGCCCCATTGTATGAATGTGACCTGGTTCTACAGTCACATTCATGCTATAGGAAAGAACATAAAAGTAATGTAAATGTGCCTTTGTTCAGAGGATACTGTATGCCTGTACATCATTTCTGTAATAAAATAATACATACTGTGTACACAAATGTTAAAATAGTTTTGGGATTTTGTTTTTATTGGGATTGCACTGTTTGGGGTTAAATGACTGCGAAGGATTAAAGAAACCTCTAAAATCAGAATTTCTCTGCAGTCCTGATGCGAGTGGAGGAGAGCTGAAGGCAGAGTTTGGGACAACAGCAGAGATCTACGCCTTTCGTGAAGAGCAGGAGTACGGCATTGAAACGGTGAAAATCAAAGCTATTGGACGGCAGCGCTTCAGAGTGCATGACATTCGCACACAAGCAGATGGGTGAGATATCAACACTGCACAACACAATATCATATGGTTCATTAAATAGATGCATTTATTTATTTATTTATTTTTTTAGAATTCGTCAGGCAAAAGTACAGATTTTGCCTGAGAGGATTTTACTCGACCCTCTGAGTGCACTTCAGCTCTTGTCCCGTGTACACACACATGCTTCACCTACCAAGCACACACAACCACAAAGCCAAGTGCAGCGCTGCCAGAACTACAGACGGGTAACTAACATATAAACATGCTGATCACAGAACACACATAGGGCATGCTATCATATTTACTGTTTGTTATGCATTCTCTCTCCGTCTATCTCTCAGAGAAAGTTGTATCCTGCTAGTATGACACCATGGCCTCCCTGGGTTTATGCTCTCTATGACTCTGTGAGTTTCATAAGGTTACAGTTCTCCACATATGTACATCCACATTCACCCTTTATTTATTTAATTTCTAGTCAAAATGGCCATTAAGTGCAAGTTATTTATTTTTCAAGAGATATTTCTGAGGATAAGATAAGCTACTTGCATATGGAAGGGGAAAGTCAAATGAAATTAATTGAAAATGGGACTCCTAACAACCATGCAGAACCGGGTAGACCACCAAAACTATCACCATCAGATTATCAGTACTTAAAGCTTTCATCTTTAAGAGTTCAGAGAAAGTCAAGCTTCACTCTGAAAGAATGTGTCTTTGTCAAGATACTTCTACTGAAAATAGGAAAAACAGAGAGGCTGCTGGTGATCTCAGAACAAAAGACTGACCACCCCAGAGTTCAGACCTCAACATCACTGAATGTGTTTGGGATTATTTGGATTGTGAGAAACAGAAAATTTCCAACTTCAAAGACTGAACTTTAGAGCTGTAGAAAAATATCCCTGCAGATTTAAATGATAAACTGAAAGCAAGTCTCTTAGAAAGAATTGAAGCTGTAATAAAGGCAAATGTGTGAATAAATCACACTTACTGGCTGTTTTGACAGGAAACTAAATACCAGAGTCTTTGCCCTTTGCACAGTACTGCACACATTCACATCACTGCATGCACTTAATGGATGTTCTATTCATAATGATGTGTTACAGGAGACTCTAATGAGTAGAGTAAAGAGACAGCTTCATGAATGGGATGAGAACCTCAAAGATGAATCTCTGCCTACAAACGCTATAGGTACATATGACAATATAAACACACTTCTACTGGACTACACATCACCCATGAACAGCAGATCCCATGCACACATACAGTTACATCTGATGTCCACAAAAAGTACAAACAAAAGCACCTTTTCTCTGAGTCTGTGCCTCTCTCCATAGATTTTTCATACAGGGTGGCTGCATGTTTGCCAATAGATGATGCTCTTAGACTGCAGCTGCTTAGGATTGGCAGTGCCATACAGAGACTGCGCTGTGAGCTGGACATCATGGACAGGGTATGTGTCTGAGAGAGACTGGGCTTTGTGGGGTTTGTTTGAGAAACACTGGAGATAAAGGGCAAAAATATCAAACCTATTGATTTTGTTGGAATCATTTTCAGTTAGTAGTTCAATGCTGTTGTGTTTTGTCTGTTGTCACAGTGCACATCTCTGTGCTGCAAACAGTGCCAGGACACAGAGATCACAACCAAGAATGAAATCTTCAGGTAAGACTCATAAGACCTTCATAAAAAAGCGAAGAAATGAGAAAAAAAAACAGGTATATCATGAGCTACATGCTTTGATACAGATTAAAAATCCAAAACTGAAAGACATTGTGTGCTCAAGAGTGATTGAGATTGATGAAGAAAAGCCTGTGTTCAGTAACCTTTTTGGTGGCTTTTATGCATGAGCACAAAGAATATATTTGCCAAATATGGAACAGTTTGCAAAATAATTCTCTGAGATCTTTATCACCTTACTGTTGTGAGTTTTCACTAGGGATGGATGATGAGGCAAAAATATATAACAATATTTCAAGACATTTTCACGATACACAATATGCGTCATGATATAGTGTTTTTCTAAGGTTTAGTTAGTTGGAACAGACCTAAAAAGAACCAGTAATGCCACGTTTGACAAATACTATACAAACTATGAATACAGTGATTTTTATTCAACATTTTACATACTGAACTGCACTATATCCAATTAAACAGGGCTAATTATGCTCTCTTTAATGAAACATGCAGTACATCAGGGTAATTTAAGTACTGAAGATATCCATGATATGCTCAGAAAAGCATAATGTGACTTTATCATAATAATTGTAAGTATGTTTACTTTTGCCATTAACTGAAATGATTTTGGCTGCAGTTTGAACTGTACCCCAGTGCACACATCATTTGTTCTCTCTGTCTCTCTCTCTCTTTGTAGTCTGTCTCTGTATGGGCCAATGGCGGCTTATGTGAATCCACATGGTTATGTTCATGAGACACTGACTGTCTACAAGGCTAGCAACCTCAATTTGATTGGACGACCTTCTACTCTGCATAGCTGGTTTCCAGGGTGAGGATTTGTGTGTGCATGCTTTTAAGATTATTGAATGTGTGTTTATTGTTGAAACATGCTTCAATTTCTACTGTAGTCTAGTAGAGCTAGTAGATGTTTTACTAGCTAGAATACATCAAACTTAGGACATTTACAGTCTTAGGCTTTTGTCACACCATTTATTTGCTAAAGTCTGCACCAGAGCTTGTGTTTTTGTAACATTTTATATTTTTCTTTTTGTCTAGTTGGTTTCATGCTGCAGTGGCTAAAGTGCATCAAATAATGAATGTGGGTGTTTGTTTATTAGGTTAGAAATTTTGCAGAGACACAAGGACTGTTACTTTTACATTACATTTGCCCACATGAAGATAGAAAAATGGAAAATAGCCAGATCAAACACATTGCTTTGCTGTTATTTTGTTGCTCATCTGCCATTATTGGCAGTAGTTTGTGCTCCAAGAATGATATGAGCATCTGTGAAGAGTCAATAATCGGCAGATTATGCAGCTGGTACAGTGCTGACACACTGCAAAAAGAAGTGAAAAGCATTCACTGTACAAGTGTGTTCCCACCAGCAGTGAACTGAACTCACTTGGAACTGGAGCACAACCAACCTGTGATTTTTGGCAGCCCACATTTCAGCAACCCGAATATGGGTGGAGTGTTCGCATCTGTTACTGATAAAACTAAAGAAAAGTTTGATTGGTCCGCACCAAACAAAGTAGGTGTGGCACAGTTAGCACCTAGTATGAGGACTGATCATACAGTCAAAGCTTGAAATTAAATTGTAAAATTGGTGAAAGCTGGCACATTATGAAATAATGCAATTTATGGTCCCATTGTTTTAAGTTAAAACAACATGTCTGATTCCCAGTGAGGTTTGCCTGTTTTCCTGACTTAATTATGCCTCTTTTCTTTTTGCATCTTGTTTAGGTATGCATGGACGATTGCTCAGTGTCGGACGTGTGGTTCTCACATGGGCTGGAAGTTCTCTGCGGTGAAGAAGGATCTGAGTCCCCCGCGCTTCTGGGGTCTGACTCGTTCTGCTCTCTTACCCACAATCCCCCAGGGCGAGGAGGGTGTGGAGGGCTCGCGCCTGCTCTGCCTGTGACCTCAGCATGACCTGCACCTTTTCAGCTCGCAGCACATAAAACATCTATCACTTCAGTCCTCCACCCCAAAACATCACTCTCCAAATCAGAAAGAAAGAAACATGTTGAGAGACAGAGAGAAATAGCTTCGACTAGGGCAAAAAGGGGACAGAGAGACAAAAATGTGTATGAGGAGTAAAGGAGAGGAGAAAAACAGACTGCTTTGTAAATTAGTTTCCCTTGCAGAATCAAACAAGATGGACTCCATGAGGCACTTCTCAGTTTAAATCTATTGCTTTTACAATCTGAACATGTTCCTCTCATTGTTTTTGCTGTTGTAACAGATGCTGCTGCGCTCTGTCTAGCAGACTGGAGCGTAGTATGGATGATGACATACACTTCGCTCACAATAACTTTGTTAACTTGGCAATGCCTCATGTTTGTGTATGCATATGATGAAAGGGTCATCACATTGTGTTTCTTAGTATTATGTTAATATAAACAGGCCTTCTGTGAGGAGGAAGGACTATTTGACTATTATTGTCCAAAGAAAGATGACTTCGGTAAGATTAATAAACAGCGAGGGGACACCGTGCAACATGCTCCTGGACGCCACAGTAACTACTGATGGGGATGGACATCTGGTGACTTAGAAAGTAACAGAGTTACTCTTACTTATCATTGTAAAGTCATATCAGGGGCAAAATCCTGCTTACTGTATTTTTGTATTTATATGTTGCCCCCTTTTCCCTATCTCTTGTCAATGACAATGTTTTTGGATGTATGTGTGTTGAAGCACTGAAAGGATTTTGTTAGCAGGCTTATTATTAGAGAGGTCTGCATGTAGACTGCAGCATTTTTTGGGGAAACTTCTATTATAATGCAGAATTTCATTACATGCAGTACACAGATAGACTTCACATACAAACATCCTGCGCGTACTGCAGCAGTCTCATATCCATAATGATAAACCTAGATACACAAAATGCACTCAACAGGCCACTCACTTACATATCTGTATCATAATGTTCAAATGATTCATTATTCAAGGGATTCAGGATTCAAAAGGATGTTCAGTTCTACTAACTGCGCTAATAAAATCATTTTTGGAATGTCCATTTGTATTAAGCATACTTATTATGGTGATGCACTTAGTACTTGGACTTATAATGTGATTTGGAAAAGAGTATAATGAGAAGGACTCCAAGCTAAACTGGTAAGCAAGCTGTCTATACTGAAAGCTGACTGATGATGAGAACTTGTCAATTATACATCCATTCACATTTCTAAGCAGAAATTTAAAGGGCCCACGTAACGGAAAAACAAATTTATAAAACGAAAAAAAGATTGCTATAGTATGTAAATATAGTTAAAATTTCAAAACATACTGCTAACTCACCAGTCCTTATGGTCTATACACAGACACTCATGAAAACCAGCGTATCTACAGCAGTGCTTTTCACTGTGCATTTATAAGGAGTGTTTCAGCCTGAACTGTTGTTTTGGCACAATAAACGTCTTAAAAGCACAGCAACAACAACAACTTGATAAATTCTGAGGGATAAAAAGCTTGGAAAATTTAAAAAATTTGTTAAAATTAATTATGACGTATATAAACACACAAACTTCATAAGAGGACCTCATGAAAAAAAAGTAAAATACGAAATACAAGAAAATATAGAAAAAGGCCCCTTGGCACCGTACGAATCTTTATATATATATATAGAGAGAGAGAGAGAGAGAGAGAGAGAGAGAGAGAGAGAGAGAGAGAGAGAGAGAGAGAGAGAGAGAGACCACCAGAGGGAGACGCTGAGCACGGCGACCCTATTCTTCTTCAGCTTTGATTACGTCATCAAAACAAACTTCAGGCACGTACTAAACGTAAACAGTCTGTATTTCAGACTCTTTTAAATCGCTAGAATTGTTTGGTTTTTATTTTCGTTGTACATTTATAGTTGTTTTACTTTTGTGTCACTCTGGCGTAATAAACGAACCTTCTTTTTGGTGTAAGTAAATAGTTTGTATACTTTGTTAGCGGTTACTGAGTTCCGTCTCTTGGCCAGCTGGCTGGCCTGCTGTTGGTCAGATAACGTTCAGGCAGGCAGGTATCGGAGTGGAGGTACACCATGCCCCAGCCTCAGGAGCCCGGAGGGAGGCAGCAGCCGCTTCCGCTGGTCCGCTCGTTGATCAGTCGCCTCCAGGCCCGTGTGGTGTTCTGTAACCGGACTCCTCGAACCGTGAAGCTCGTATGGATCAACTTTAACGGAGAGCCGCAGTCCTACGGAGACCTGCAGCCGCTGACGGGGAGGACGGTCACTACTTATGTGGGTGAGTCTGTCTGTCTATCTATCTGTCTCTCCTCCCTACATTATCTGATACCGCACAGAACCAGTTCAGTCTGTACTACACAGCTAGCTAAAACGGCAAAGGCCTTGGCTTGGCACACATTCCAGATCTCTCAAACTGCCACTTCGATCCATAATAACCATAATTTATACATTTTTACAAATGTTATGTATCTGCATTGACAGATAAGTACATAGAAAAGATATCGGCTTCGCCCCACAATTCCTATATCTGTGCATCCCTAACTATTATGGCTATTCTATAAAATAGTACTAGTATAGTGGTTCTATATAGAACCATGAACATATATATTTTTAAAAAATGGTTCTATATAGCACCATATTGGGTCCTTCTATTGTTATGATGTCAAGCTTGTAAAAATATGAGAACCCTTTTTGGTGCTATAGAGAACCATTTTCAAAAGTTTCTATGTAGAATTATAGACAAAAAATTCTCCGTTAATCTGAAGAACCATTTCACCATGCAACAAACCAAGCATGCAAATGGTTCTTTGATTTTTCGTGGTTCTATGTAGAACCATTCTTTACTAAAGAATCCTTGAAGAGCCTTCCTTTTTAAGAGTGTACCAGTGAAAATATTTGTGTACTACGTAGTTAATTTTGTTGCATCAAGAGAGACACAGCTGAGGGTTTTAAAGGTGGACACGTCTGTTTGGTGATTTCAACGTGTTTTACAAGGGTAATGATGTTAAAAAGTAATAGACTAAGACTGCATATTAATGACCATCTCTCTGTTTATATCTGACAGGGCATCCCTGGATGTTTCGTGATTCTGAGTCTGATGATCCCCTGTTGGTGAATAATAAGGAGATGTACTTACCCAGTGCATTGGAAAATGGCCAGGTGTCATTGGCCAACATCACATTACCTGGTACGCTACCTCAGATTGTCTGTGATAAAGTGTATGGCATTGACTTTTGTTTGTTTTAGCTGGGGCAAATATACAACTTGTAGTTTTGTTGGTTTGTCTATAAGATGCAATGAGGCTGTTTACACTTTGCATCAACATGTGATTCTGGTGATCACCTCATGTTCACCTGCATGAAAATCCAGGTGCACACACCCATTGTGTGTGGAAAAACTCCAGCAGGAAAACTTGTACCAGCACAACACACACTAACACACCACCACCAGTCGGTGTCACAGCAGTAAGGCGAATGATCCACCACCCAAATAATACCTGCTCCATGGTGGTTCTGTGGGGATCCTGACCATTGAAGAACAGGGTGAAAGGAGGCTAACAAAGTAGGCAGAGAAACAGATGGACTACAGTCTGTAAATGTAGAGCTACAAAGTGCACCTATATTTTGAGTAAAGCTGATAAAACGGACAATAAGGGCAGAAACAAGGAGGTGGTTTTATTGAAGTGGCAGAAGTCAGTGTACATAAGTGGAAATGTGTCAGTCTGAAGTGCTGAATAGCAGGTGAGAGGATAAACAAGGAAATCCAAGATGGAAGACACCCGAGACTGGAATTATCACCAAAGTGCATTCTTGCATTCTGGGTTGATTAATGTGTCCCAGATAAGCTTGTCAATTCGTATCATACAGTTGTATGCAAAAGTTTGGAAAAAATTACTGTTTATATGCTGAAATTAATATATTAAGAAAAAATAAAACGTAAAATGCAATAGTTATGGCATGTTTTATATTTTATGTGGCATGTTAAACTCATCAAATGAATAGAAACTGTGCACTAAAATTTGAAGAAAAGTGTCACATTTGAGTTTGTTTCATACAAAGAATATGTTAACTTATTTATTTATTTATTTTTGTGCATATGACTGTAAAAGTGGGGAAAAGTAAGTGGAACTAAAATGGAAGCAATGTATGTGCTGATGTGCTTTTTACCTGGGAAAGTAAAATCAGATCTCATCTGATGCATTTTAGTGAAAAGTGTAAATTAAGTACATGCAGATGTGATTCAGACAGGAAGCACATGTAAATGCAAGGTGTTAACAGCCTCCATGTGACTTCTGCCTTGAGTTATGGTATTTTAAGGTTCTTTGACAGACTGTGAGGACAGTCCATGTTTCACTGTGTGTGTTTGTGTGGCAGTGTTTTCCCTGCGAGAGCGCTGTCTGCAGGTGGTGAGGAAGCTGGTGCGTAGTGAAGATTTCCCTCGCTTAGAAATTGCTCGCACTCTACAAGATGAACTTGCTCAGAAACCCAGCATCCATGCTGACCTGCAACGCATCAGCCGGCGAGTGGAGCAAAAACTACTGGAGAACAGAGAAGCGCAAAACACGTGAATTTGTATAGAGTCAAAGGCAACCTTTATTACTGTGCCTATACATGTATTCAGAACACATGCTGTCCTAGAAGATGGCATTGTTTTACTGAATAAAATGGACAGTTTAAAATTTTAATTAAAGCTCAGTGTAACTATGCAGTTTCACATTCTGCCCATTGTAAAGCATCTGTGTACTTGTCTTTGCAGAGCACCCATTTTCACTTGCCTTTGGACACACATCATTGTTCCTCTTGCTGCTCTGTTTATATCCCACCAGTTTATGTAAACAAATATTTTAAATATGTTAAGTCCATGATTAAAGCCAGCAACAGGCCAGGTAGTTTGCTTGAATGGAGGCAGCTATGTGATAATAGTGGATAGTACACCTTTGTAATACACAACTGTTGTACTTTAGAAACTTCACTAAGTAAGTGATTATATTTACTTGTAACCAATAAAACAGCTTTATTTTGGAATTTGTCTTTTTACTGAGTGAAAGTGGCAGAATGTTTATTCATTCATTCATATGTTTATGCTCATACTAAGGATATGCTCTTTAGGCCACTTAGAACAAAACGCTGATTCAGTGCTATTGTTCATGGACATTTCCTGACAAAATATTAATTACGACTTGATAAATCGAAACGAGAAAAAAATAATAGTGTAAAAATGAGTCTTTTAGTGTTTTCTCTGCTTGTGAGGTTGTGCCGCTCACACGTGGCCGCTGAGCGCAGAGCGGTGCGGCCCGGTCTGGAAGCTCTGGAGAGAACCAGGCCTGCAGAGGTGAAGGTTCGGGCCGGTTCGACCAGACAACTGATACAACAATGTTGAATGCCTTTGCAAATTCTTCGTTATTTGTGGCTAATCATATTGCGAACCATATAAGAGAAAGGGTCGATCAAGATCGATAACATACTGTGGTCTCTGTAACCTCTGAGTGTCATCGGTTTAGTCCGATAAGAGGTCATCGTGGTTTGGAAGGGCGGCTGTCGGGCACTTAGCACAGCGGCCAGGTAACCGACCTCAACGAGCTAGCGGAGTTTACCAACAGCTCAGCAGCATTATTACTGTTTTACTGTAGCTGTTTCTTCACTAACGGGCGGTTATGTGCACAAGTAAAAGCCTTATACAAACGTTTGTTTTAATATACAAGCATAAGTGGTTTAACTAAGCTGCAAGTTAATGTGTGGACTTAATCCATCACTGCCTACACAGCTAGGTTAGCTAACGTTAGCGATAATTAGCTAGCTAACGGTGGAAAAGTAACCCAGTACGTTAACCTGGATAGCTAGCTAGTTCATGTAAATGTTAAAGTTGCAGAAATAGGTATTTCTTGAGTATTTTTTTAAAAAAGCAGTATTTTTAGTGTTCAATTGGTTGTTCTTTGTATTTCATTATTATTATTTATGTTGAATTCCTCGACCCTCGCACCGGTCGAGTCCATTTTTATGGCAGGGTCTAAAGTAAATCATTGACGTTGGACCTTCCTGCTTGCATAATCCTTGATTCATGTTTTTGTCCATGTTGTGTGTGCAATTAATGACTTTCACAGGAAAAGTAAAATGTAATCCTTAGGGCTCGTTTCCTGGACATTAAGCCTAGTCTTAAACTAACTTTACACTGCTGTGCCAGTGGTGAATCACCATTGGAAATTCTTTTCAGTGCAGGTTTAGTTTTAGGAAACTGGCCCATGGTATTTACAGTTCTGTTTACAGCTGCACTAAGTCCTGTTTTGTGCCTGTTGTGCTGGCACAGAGAGTGTACAGTGTACCTGTAGGGTGGACAGGCAACAGGAGCTGCATCTGCATAAAGCAAAGAGGTTTGGCAATAGTTCATAGAACTAGTTTCTAAATAAATTTATTTTAAAAGAAAATTTAAAAATGGTCTGTGTGCATGCCAAATGTGATTGCCAGTACTTTTTGCTGCTGAAAAAAAGAGTTACTGGGATGTGGCATGAAATAAATTTGTGTTGAAATGAAAATTTTGCCTAAATAGATTTGAATGTGAATTTTGAATTTGAATGGGATTTTTTTCTTTTTCTTCCATGCAGCTAATATCATAGAAATTATCCCTACAATTGCTAGGAAGCCCTGTGTAATAATAATTTCTGTCTGAATTGGGCATATGTTTAAGTCTGCCAGTTATCACAGTGGAAGCATATTGAATTTGTGTGTTGATATTGATATGTTTCTCACAAAAACCTCATTCTCCATTTCTTAGCCCCAGCATAATGAATAGAGAAAGGCGAAAGGTGAAGTTTGGTTGGCTACGTACGGCATTCAGCTCACCTAGGAAGTTCCAGAAGAATAATGTAGGCTTGCCTCGGCCCACGCTCTGGGAGGATCCTGGGTCTGATGAATCAAGTGAAGACTGTTCCTCCAGCCTGAACATGTCTACTGGGTCAGTTGATCTAGGAGAGCTAGAAGGCATAAAGCTCAGCACACCTAAAGGAAGACAGGCAACACCTTCAAAGAAAGAGTGTACTCCAAAAGCATGCTCCTTATCCAGTGGTCCTCGCAAACTGTTTCAAAAACAAGCTATGACTGCTGAGGTAAGTGGTTTGTACTTATATTGAGCTGTGTGAGCCTAATTTTGTAATAACCACTTTTCCCTCAACTTGAATAAAGCACCAAAAGCTTTCATAGAAGCATTGTACCTCATGCAAAACATTACGTATCATATCAGTAGACAGTGACTTGTGTGAGTTATTTGTGTGTGTATATGTTCAGGAAGATGCACCGTCAGCACAGCGGTCCCCAGTTGGCCCCCCAGCAACCCCTCCAAGTATGAAGCGCAAGGACAGAACTCCAGAGGAGGGGTCAAAGGCTATTTACCTCAGAGCACTTACTGAGGCTATCGTGTCTGGTGACCGGAAGGCCCCTTCGACCGAGGACAGTGTCCAAAGGCTCTTGGGAAGGAAATGCATCGCTGGCACACATGCACAGGCGGAGTCAGAGGAAAATACTTACCCTAGATGCTCATTCAGTGACGAGACATCATCTGTGTCACTCGAGACGGGAGACCACCGTCCCACCCCAGTTGTCTTCATAGACTCAGATGAAGAAGAGAAAGTGGTGAAAACAGACACTCGGGTAAGCAGAAGAAGAACAGAAAAATTAGGAAATGAGAGACATGAAAATATGATGATGTAGCTGTCTAAAGTTATGTCTTGTTGTCGGTAGATTTTGAGTTAAAATTCAAGAGAGCATAACTGATCCTTGGTTAATTAGATGCCGTGTTGTGGAGTATTTGAAATGAATACAAAATCATGTACACTATTGTTATTGGCTTTTAACATCAACGTGAACTGGAAATCATATCAAATGCAGATGACGTTTTAGAGGTGACAATTGTAGCTTCATTTTAGTCTGAGATTACTGGAGAACAAGAAACATGCTTAATGTGATCAGGAACATGAACTAACAAGGTGAAAAAGGTAAAATATGATTTCAGGTTGACTTCAAAGCATTTTAAATGTGGCACAAATGGTCCATTGTGTCTGTATTAATTTGTCAAACTTCAAAAGACTTACATATTGTTATGCATATCATAAATATGTAATTCAAGTATGAGTATAATCACATCAGTCTTTTTCCATATTGCCCATATTTACTGTTAAAAATTCAAATATTAGTGTGTTGGTTCTTTTGAATATTTGGGTGGCCCTGGCACTAATCCACTTACTGTGATTTTTATGTGTGGTTTATCTCACTCTGCAGAGTGTCATTCTGAAAGGTGATGAATCTCCTGATTGGTCAGATGTTGAGGACCCTGTTGAGGTAGAGAACTTCTCACAGGATGAGTCTCTGGATCTGCATACCCAGCGAAAGGTAGAGTGCAAGCAAGAGAGCGAAATAGAAGGTGCTGAAAGCCTACCTCCTTTGAAATATGTGCCTAACCCACCTCCAGCATTCATGCTGCCCCCACAATCCACATTTAGTATGCCATGGATTAATGTGACCCCGTACCACACCTCCTCCACTCCTACAAGTACAGAGACCTCAAGGCAACCCTCACAGCCTTGGAGAGAGTTTCTTCTGTCGTCAGGACAAACCCTCCAAGACCCTCCAGTAACACCTGATTCCTCAACCTCCAGAACTGTATGTCCGCCTAAAAGTTCACTTGTGGCCTTGGGACGGGGTGTTAGATTACAGCAGCCAATCAGACAGGCTTCTATATCTCCAGACCCGTATGCCCTGCCCATCTGGGCTGCCAGAACTAAAACTCTTTCCCCACTCCCAAAGGGACTGTGTGAATTCTCTCCTGTAATGAGACACAGATTCTCAGACGTGCACACGCTCTCTGCTTCAAGAACATCACTTACTAATGATTGCGCCACCCGTAGGATGTCATTGGGCTCAGAGCCTCTCTGGTTGTCAGACATTGACCACTCAAAGGCAAGCACTATGGGATTTGTTGACACCCATTGTCACCTGGATATGCTGTATGCAAAGTTGGGCTTCCAGGGAAGTTTCCAGAGCTTTCGGAATGAATATGCTAGCAGTTTCCCTGTGGAATTTGGCGGGTGCATAGCCGACTTCTGCAACCCTAGGATTACGCAGAGGGAAGCTATCTGGGAGCGGCTTCTGGGAGAGGAATTAGTATGGGGTGCCTTTGGGTGCCACCCACACTTCGCCAAGGAGTATAACACCACTCATGAGCAAAGCATCATGGGAGCCATGCGCCACCCAAAGACCATTGCCTTCGGAGAAATAGGGCTGGATTACTCGCATAAGAATTCTACAGACTCAAGCAAACAGAAAGAGGTATAAAAACACTAAGACAGGTTTTTTAGAAGGGTTTTGGTAATATTCGTTTCAAGAGAACTATTGTCTTAACTAAAGAACTCTTGAAGAACCATCTTTTTTTAAGTGTGCAGTGTACATGCATTTGTGTGCAGGTGTTTGAGCGGCAGCTGCGATTGGCTGTGTCTCTAGGAAAGCCTTTGGTCATACACTGCCGTGATGCTGATGATGATTTGCTGGAAATCATGAAGAAGTTTGTTCCCCGAGACTACAAGATACACAGGTTTGTTTTCATAGAAACACCTTGTGTACACTTGTGTATAAGCTACAGGAATTCTCTAATGTTTTGTGTTTGTTTGTCTATGAGACAGACACTGTTTCACCAACAGTTACTCTGTGATCGAGCCATTCCTGAGTGAGTTCTCCAATTTGTGCGTGGGGTTTACCGCTCTGATAACATACCCTCACGCTGTAGAGGCCCGTGATGCAGTGAGGAAAATCCCACTCAACCGCATCCTAATGGAGACTGACGCACCATACTTCCTGCCTAGACAGGTGTTTGTTTGTGTTCTTATGTTTTTGGTCATTCTCTCACATATTTGAGGGTGTAAACTAACAAATGTTTCCCTCCAAGGAGTGTGAAACCAGGAAACATGTTTTCACACAGCTAGCCGTGCAGCCTTATTTTAGGTGCTTGAACCTCATGCAGAGTTCTAACTATATTAGCATCACTAACATAACATTACAACCGATACAATCTCCCTTTAGCATAACATGTTCGGTGTTATAAAAAATGACAACAGCATTTGTCTGTCAAAATTATGACAAAGTCAAATTTCTCTTCCATGTTTATCAAGCAAACGGCAAAATGACCACATTCCACCCATTTACATTTCATTGGCGGAGGAGGGGGTTGCCACTCTGCCAGATTTACCTGAAAACTATCATAGCCAGAGATGAAAACCCTCTAATTGCTTTACAGATGTTGTTCACCTCCACTGAGAGCCAAATTGTTCCCATGGCTGTATCATGCTGGTTGTGGTTTCTCTTTCCACCTGATGTACTGCTAAATCAGGACTAGGAAATTTTTTAATGTCTCTGGAAATAACTTAGAAATACTATGCAGCAGTGGTTTAGTGACAGCTTACAGCTACACACATCACAGAACATGTTAGATTTCATTCCAACACCACAGACAAATGTGAGTCTTTACCCTCTAAACATGTAATTTGATCATCATTTAGCAGGAACTGAGCCTGTACTGTGGTATGTGGGACTGACTGGATCTGTAGCCTGCTCTCTAAGCTAATGTTAGGTTAGCTAGTAGACTAAAGATCCAAATGCCACTGAACAAATGTAATATCACCGTTCTGTCCCTCTGACATTAGATGCTTGACTTGCATTCCCTAAGATTTGAAGTCATTCATTTAAACTTGTGTTAGTGTAGCTTTAATAAAAGACCTGTTCTGTATTGAGCAGAACTGTTATTGTGTTAGCTAAGCTAATGCTAACTAGCTCCTCTCTCCTAGTTAGCAGCATCATTTAATATTTACCGTCTGTCGTGAGATACTGTAGATGTCAAGACTTTTTTTGAATGATGGATTGAATGTTATGCACTGTATTTACTTATTTAGCAAACAATACTGATGCATTTTAACACTGTTTTTACACTTTTTGTAAAACGCTAGTACTGCTGTATACTGCAGTATTATTTGTAGACGCTTTGAACGAGTAAAAAAAAGTATACAGCCCAACCCTAATAAAATTGAGTAGAAAGATAAGAATAGTTTTGTGTAAACAGAAGGTTGTGAGTTGAGACTGGAATAGTGCATTCTAAAGTTTCAGGGCCATGGCACTGAAACCATAGAGCAGGGTTGAGGAACTAAAGACCAGAGTCCAGCTTGCTAATTTCCCTGCTTTAACACACCAGCTACACCTGGCAATTACCTGATAAGTTGAATCAGGTGTGTTTGATCAGGAAATCACCAAATGCTACAGTAATCTGGGCCTCTAGGGTTACGTTCCTATGCCTGCCATGGAGGAAAGCCTGGTGTGTGGTACATAGGTACAATACTGCCGGAGCATTTTTAGGTGTGAAGCACCTCATGGACCTGGCTTATAACTCACTCACTCCCTTATGTTTACCATGCTGAAGATTGTCTATAAGCATTTTTTTAATCCACTCAAGTAGCGTTTAGTGTTTCATAAGAGCAGTGCTTTGGGTCGGCGACACTGTGTCCGTGTTTTATTTATGTATTTATTTTAATGTTCCTGGTCATTGTGTTTGGTTGAAATTTGTTTGTGTAAACGCTTCATTGTTGTCACTCTCTAGGTGTCCAAGGCAATGTGTAGGTTTGCTCACCCTGGGATGGGCATACACACTTTGCGTGAGATCAGCCTGCTGAAGGGAGAGCTCCTCTCCACAGTGTTCCAAACCGTCCGCCAGAACACCACATACATCTACAGCCTGTGACCACAGCAGCCATGCATTCGTGGCCTGAAGGCTGTTACCGCGGAGTCTACTGATCATATCCTAACGCCCATCAACCAGCGCGCGTGTGTGTGTATGAGAACCATGGTAATCTCTCCAAATCTGTATGCTAAACTAATAGGTAATGTGTACGTGTGTGCCAAATAGGTTTCTTTATGAGAAGGAAAATCTGTTAAAAGTATTGTTTTATTTCCGTATTACCGTCAGTTTGTTTTAACTTTAAAATGGTTCTGTTAAAATCCTTTATAGATATTATTCTACCTTTTGATAATATGTGAATTCTTGCACTTGTATGGTTCTATACATGTGATAGTGTTGTGTATGTTTCCAAAACATAAAATACCAGATTTCCTTTCTTTTCCAATAAAATTGTCCTGAAGGTGATGTATATAGTGTGCATATTTGTTACATGTAATGTTACAGCAATTACATTTTGTTCATATTTAAATTAATTTTAAATTTTTTCCACCAAGAAAAAAACCACATCATAAAGACTTCAATGTCACTGCAAAAGTCAGTAATAAAGTAAAATAAAAATATTTAAAAAAATATAGATATATTAAAACATAGAAACAAATAAGCATTTAAGAACAGTTGTTGGTGTATCTTTTAGAAGCTGTGAGATGTTGATGGTGTCAATTTCACAAGGGCACGTAGGGTAGTCATGTACAGTAAATGTGAGGAATGTTGAAGGTTAACCTGAAAACTAAAGCACACTTCTTAGATGAAGGAAAATTAATATTTTGATTAATAAAAAAAAAATTCACAGTAACCTAACTGTTCAGTGAATACTGTTTAAAGTACATTCTAAACAACAAGTCAGAGAATTTATCCCAGATGGTAATATTTCCGTGTAGATTTAACAACAACACAGAAAGTGAAGAAAGATATGACATTTAAATAAGAATTGATTTGTTTGGATGTATTCTGTGTAAGTACAATGGAGCGACACTACATGGCTGAAACTATGTTGCTCCCTCCATAGTTATTGGGTTTAACTAGAGATGAACAGCCACATTTTGGAAAATTCTTCAAAAAAGTTTTAAGCACCTATCTGAATAAATAAGCTACGGCAGCATAACATAGTTTAGAAAAAGGACAAATCTCTATTTCATCTCATCTCTATTTATTAATTTACCAAATCTACAGATCAGCAAGCTAGCTTCCACAATAGCGTGTTAAATTGGCCAGCTACATTCTCAGAGAGAAAGGTAGGAAACTGTCACTGGGGCACCCCTCTTGTAACTGGGGTAGTACACTCATAGGCACATCTCAGTACCTTTCGTCAGTGAACAAAGTTGTACTATAATTAAATATTATTTTCTAAGTTGTATTGACTGCACACACCCCGTCTCGTCTCCAGGCTTTTTTAATTTTATTGTTGTTTTAAAACATTAGGTTATGAAAAGGTACAAATATGTATTTTTCACCTGGAAGAACGTATTTATGGTACACAATAGGACCTTAAAACATTTATATTGTTTCTACCTTGATGAACGAAAAATATACCTGCACAGAACCTTTATTTCTAACAGTGTAGCTAAAATAATGTTTGTTTCCAATTGAGACTGATGTATAATCTGTGTGTTTGAATAATATGTGTAGGACCTTGCAGCTTGTCAAAGAGAGAGGAGAGAGCACTGCTTGCCTTCAGTACCTTTGCTTGGTCTGTGCCTGTTGTAAGTGGATGGATATAGTGTTTGTTATACTGGCTCTGTGCTTAATACAAACTATGAAGAGGCAGATCTAGTGTGTGCCAATTTGACCAAATAACCATTTTGTGAGATACTTAACACGCTGATGTATTTGACATTTCTGGCTGTTGCTACTCTAAAAGTGCATTATAAACATTTTGGTGCCATTAGGACCATGTGTGTGTTGTGCTGGACCATGCCCCCAGACCCCCCTAGTACAGTCTTAGCCCCCTATCAATGAACCTTTAGTGACGGCCCTGGGTTGTGAAGACATTTTCTGATGCCTGAGATATTGTCATCATTGCATGGTGGAGAGGTACATGCACTATATTGTAAGGCAAAATAGTACCCAAAGAAAACTTTTCTTTAGAGTTACCTCTGTTTTACCATTATTTACATTGCATATAAAAACTTAAAAGACACATGTATGTTCACTTATTGTTTTGGATAGTAATAAAATGGCCACATTTGTGGTGTAGACATTGTGACACCTGGTTCCTACAGTGGTCACCACCACTGTAAAGAAATCAGATTACGTTTCTCTACAAAAAACCATAAACCATTTCTCATCAGACCATGAAAAACTTTGCATGAGTTTGTTTACATCCCAGCGATTGAATCAGTGGAATTCCGCTTTAATTTCTAATCACAAACAACTTTGGGGAAAAAAAACACAGACACAACGCTTAGAGAGCTCCTCAAATTAGAATTTTATTCATTTTTTAACAATCAACTGAGTTAATAAATGATCACTCGTTGATGCATTTTCTGACAGTAACTTGTAGGAGTTGGAGTCCTTTCAAGATCTGGTAGTTTGGTCACTCTGAAACAAATGAGGGAAAAAAAGATTTTTCTAGTTTTGTTTCAGAATTAGTGTTTACGACAGAAGAAATCACAACTAGAACAAACCTAAAGGGGGCATATCACCCAGGACATTCAGCAGAATCTTCTGTAGCATCGGGCCATACTCTTCATATTCGTCCTCACTCAGAGACACACCCAGCTGAAAAGGTGTGCTCATCTAAGATAGGCATGGAAAAAGAGTAAAAAAGTCATTTAAATGGAGTCCCTTAGCATAATGTGTCATAAATATCCTGATGCACCTTTTCTTAACTGTAGTTCTGAATGGTAAAACTTTGTTTTCCCTTACAGAAATACATTTAATTTACTTTAGAGCATTTTTAAGTATACTAATTGCATTAAGTGCATGTTACATAGTGTACTGGAAGTATACTGAAAGTTTACTACTTTTATTACTATTATCCCTACTAGTTCTAGTTCTGTTCTTGCTTTGGGCTACAATGGGAAAAAATTGTAAGGTTACTTTTGAAAAGTTTGAAATTATTTTTCAGATTAGTACAGTGCATATACTTACTAAGTATATTAATTATTATTAATAATAATTATTAATTATTAATGACATGCTGAGTTATATACTTTACTTCAATTTAAAATATTTGGGAAGAAATACTTTCTTTGACTTAGAAAATCAGCAAAACATGAAATTCGACTTTTGCATGCAACTGTATATCATGGTTTGGCATGTAGCATGTTTGATATACATACCATGAAATGGTTATCCTCCAAAGGAAGAGGAATCTCTAGCTCTGCTGCAGCCCTCCGTCCCAGTCGGGGTGGCTTTCGGTCTCCACGACCCTAAAATACACACTTACTGGCTAAAACATCTCATCATCTCTAAAACACAGCTAGAAAGCTACACACGAAACAAGATATATTCCTATTATGCCGTTACGCACACACTTTTAAACAATCAAAAACACACAAACAAACAAGAAGAGTTTTGTCATACATGTGCCTTATGTACCTCACCTGTGGTTTCTGGGTGGGGCTGAGGAAGCTGGAGCCACACATAACACATTCAGCCCACAGGGACAGAGCAAAGAGGAGCAATATCGCATGACCTGCGCGATTTGGGCATGGCATCCTGAGCAGGCTCTTGATATCTCCTGAAACCAAGCAGCTAACCTCCAGTGAAAAGTGACAACAAAATGCGTACAGCAGTTTTGGAACGATCAGTCTGCGGTAGCTGGCTATGAGTATAATCCAATGACTGTTGAAAGTCATACATCCATATATAAATATGTATACATGTATGTATGAGTTTAAACATTTTTAAGAGTATAAAACTATGTATTTCAGTGGCCAGGATCACCACAGCAAGTATTATTTGGGTGTTGAATCATTCTCAGCACTGCAGTGACACTGACATGGTGGTGGTGTGTTAATAGTATATATATATATATATGTGTGTGTGTGTGTGTGTGTGTGTGTGTGTGTGTGTGTGTACCCAATATGTTAAATTAAAAAAAAATTTAAAACGTAAATAAATGAATAATATTTGTGCATTAAAATCTACTTTTTTCAGAATGTGTATTTATTTTTATTTAGAAAACCAATAAAACATGTCATTTGACCAACATTTGTATACACATAAAACTAGTCTTGTTTCATTGATGTACATTAAAGTTAAAAAGTTTTTTCCTTCTCCTATGAAATTACCATTTTGGAAATACAAAGTTTTGTTCACGTTAGTGGCCACACTCTAAAACACAGGTGGCTGTATACGTACGCAACAAAGCACCTCTCTACAGGTGGTATGTTTTAGTATGTGTACCATGTGGATGTGTGTCTTACCTGGTCAAGCGAAGAACGAGATGGTGGTATCAGCAATTCACTCTACACAGGGCTTCAGTCTTAAATAGGCTGCTGCTTATCAGGACTCATAAGAGAGACGACTGTAAAAACAAACACAGTGGAATGTCCCTGTCCCTTAATGTGGTGAATATTTTTGACACTAATAGTGTTTTTTAAATATTTGTATGTGTGTGTATGTGTATTATAAAGATAAGAGATACTGGTCATTTAGAGAGTGCACACTGCAATTCCACATTCACGTTAGCAATAGATATGAGGTAGTCGGTGAAGTGAATGGAAAGTTTTTCTTCCTGAACCACTGTGTAACGGACGTGATAATTAGAGTGACATAGTTCTGCTGCTGATAATCTCCCAGAATTAAACATACAAACTCAACACTTAATGGATGCATACAGTAGTCTTTATTACATAGCTGCTTTATTTGTTTTGAATAGCGCTGTGCCTGAACTATGAACATGTTTTAGCCTCTTACAAACACAGGTCATACCATTGTTTGAGTGGGTGTTAGCTGAAGATGAGCATTGTGCTGAAATCTGGGGCTTGCAGGCTTGTTATTAGGGCTGCTTTATTGCATTCATCTTAGATCATCATCCAGTCATAGATGTACATAATATTTATCATTCTGTATCTAGATCATGTATTTCATAAATTATCTTTAAATACACCAAAACACATTAAGCAGTGTGAGAAATGTTTACAGGGCCCAAATAATAAAAAACGAATTTCCTCATTTTTTTTGAAGTAAGAGTTTGATGTAGTATGTAAACATTGTAATGTTTCAAATGTACAGTTTACTCCCCAGTTCATGTATGGACATTAAGCTGCAAAGACAGCATACATTGAATTCACTTTTTTATGATATCACCAAACCCAATACATGTGCATATGTCTGTTTATTTAGCTTATAGCCCACCTAATCACAGTGTTTCAGCCCAGACTATGTTTTAGATTGAGGCACAATACAGGGCAGCTAATAACTAATCATGGCCCAATTTCCCAAAGGCATTTTAATGTTCAGATCATCTTAACTGGTACAGAGAGTTCAGTGTGATGCTTATTTTACACTTTCAGAAAAAGGTACTATACTATCACGTTTAAGGTGGAACGGAAAATTCACATAACAAGCTGGCTAACAAGACTCTTCAGCCTCATTATTACGACAGAGGCAAGGTGCTTTTTTTCTGGCAATGTGAGAATACTAATCTTGAACACGAGTTAATATCCAGATAACTTTGTTTTTCGTTACTAGAGATACAAATACAATTAGCCTTTACTTTGCTAGTTACTGTACTAGCTAGCTAGCTAGGTTAGCTTATCAGTAACGTAGCTATCAAGCTAACGTTAGCTGAAATGTACTTATTTAAGATATAAGTTAATTATTTAACTTGGTAGTCACACAGCCCTTGTTATGTTTGTCTGAATGAGTATAAATTATAATGGACGTGTTATTTTTAGTTACTCAAAGAAAGAATTTTTCATTTTTATTCACTGCTAAAGCTTGTTAAAGCAGTAAATTCTGTGCCAGGTACACACACGTGAAGAAGTATGTACGATATGAAGAAATATGTAGGAAATTTAACAGATGTACATTTCAAAAGGATGCTTTCTGTAGTGATAAATGAAGTTGTACACCACTAAAAGTAATGCACACATGCATTCAGTTAATCATTATTTGTTTTTAATCATGATTTATTACTTATTTTTGCAGGTTGTGTCTTGTATGGAGATGACTGAATATTGAAGGTAAGGCTCTTTATTCTCTCTTTCGCAAGTATAGTGTATGCAAATGAAACTGCATTACCCATTTTCCTGCATGTTGAATACACAAAGTTTGTCTCCATTTCTTTTACTTTTTATTGTCCCAATTCCTAAGCTTAATAGCCAAATTGAGAGTCTGTCTATATCTACAACTCTTTATCTGTCTGTCTGTCTATATCTATCTACAACTCTGTCTCTCTGTGTCTGTGTACAACTCTGTTTGTCTCTCTGTGTATATCTACAACTATCTGTCTGTCTGTCTATAATCTATCCACAACTCTCTGTCTGTCTATCTACAACTCTGTCTGTCTGTCTGTCTACAATCTATCTACAACTCTCTGTCTGTCTATCTACAACTCTGTCTGTCTATCTATCTACAACTCTGTCTGTCTATCTATCTACAACTCTGTCTGTCTATCTACAACTCTGTCTGTCTATAATCTATCTACAACCCTCTGTATATCTGTCTATCTACAACTCTCGGTCTATCTGTCTGTCTATCTATCTACAACTCTGTCTGTCTATCTATCTACAACTATTTGCCTATCTGTCTGTCTATCTACAACTCTCAGTCTGTCTATCTGTCTATTGTTTTCTTTTTTCATTTCACACTTTTTTTTTATTTTGTTGCTTTGCAAGCTCTGGTATTTCCTTCAGGAAATGCATATCTAGTTACTTATGTTTTCACATAGGAACTGTACGGAAATGCAAAGTGAGCAGCAACACCACAGAAGACATTTCCAAACATGCTATCCGATGGTTCAATCTTGCATCAGACCGCGGAGGCGGACGCCGGGAGAGATACATGTTTGTGTTGCAACCTGGTTTGAACTTATAGTGAACGATATACAGGTTCATCAGAGTTTTATGTTAAGTTTTTTGCCCAGGAGCACTGGTGCCCCTGATTTGAAATAGGAGAGCAGGGAGCACAGAATCTGCAAGCACCAACTTAATATGAACTTTTTATTCTTTTTTCTTTATTCCTCAGAGAGGATGGTAATACAGAAATCAGATTTTCCTACATAGTCCAAGCCCTTAAGGGTTACCTGAACAAAATTAAGAACTGCCATTTTCAGTTATTTAATTTAAGTCAAATCATAAAATAAGAACATTATTTATACTCCTGGCTCTGGTCTTTTGTAGAAATTTCTACCAATTCACTTGTACGTACATACTATGTACATGCTTTTGAGAAGCTCTTTTGTGAAAGCTTAAACATGTGCTCAGTGCTATTCACTGTACTTCCTGATTACATACAATTATGAACTAATTGAGTTTCTCAGTCATGATTTTTTTTTCTTTCCTTTTGTTTCTTTCAGGTCATCTACAGCTCTTCAAACCACAGAGGGTTAATAATTCACTTTTGGAAAACACAAAAAGGCGCTAAATGTTAAGTGTTCAATAAATATTGTATTCATATTCAATACAGTTTTTGAATTGTTCTTGGTTTTACCTGTTTTGTAACTGTTCGTAACTGACTTTTTGTGCTGTGATTGAAGAGTTAATTAATGCAAGTAAAAGAAATATTCAGTGTTGATACAGATTACATGAAAAATGAATTTTACCTCTATCTGATTTTGTATTGCTTAGCATATTTAAAAATTATTATTATTATTATTATATTTTACACATTAATAGGATATCAGTATTATCAGGATATCAGAAACACTCCATTCTGGAGAATCTTATAAAGTCAGAACTCTTCACAGTGGTGGTAGACACCAGACATCTGAACCTCTAAAAGCTCCCTCATTACACCAAATGATTACACTCCCTGAGATGCTGTTTCACCATAGTCTGGAATAGATTTCAGGTCTAAAACATTTTTTAGATATATTAGAAGGATATGGCAATATGGTCCCAAAATAATCTTTTCAGGTTTCCCATTATTTTACCCCAACATTCCATATAAACTCAGAGGACACGTGTGGGTTCACTGGTGGTTTTGGATAGTAAATAAAATGGTTATTTGTAGTATTTGAGTTGTAGTCATGGTAACCCCTGGTTCCTGTCACCACCATTGTAAAGAATACGTTTCAGCAAGAATCAGTAAGTTTCTCTACAATTAATCATTTCATGTCAAACCACCAAAGTTTAATTTTATTTCCCAACTCTTCAATTAGACATTTATTAAGAAATACATTTTGTTTGTGAAATAATTTTGTATTTCAGATTACCCGCTCTGATCTTAGAGTACCCCTGCCCTGCATATTTTAGTGTTTTCCTTGATGTACATGATGCAGCTAATGTATTTAACAAGACCTGAGTAATGTGGGTGTGTGGGAGAAGAAAAACACTAAAATATACAGAACAAATAGTCCTAGACCATGGTATATTTAACACAGAGAAACAAACTAGTCTAAACATCTAGTTATTTCTACTTTTAAAATCAAATAAACTAATTATTATTTAGTTTGTAATTGAATTAAATAATGTCTAGTGTTAGCATAAATTACTCAATTATGTCATGTAAGGAAAAACCAAAACTGCCAGAGGAGATGTGGATCCACGCCAGCAGGAGTGCGGATGCAGGCCGGAGGAGGTGCAGAACTGATCCAAACGTAAAATGAGGATACGGATGTGGCCCGGATTTGGGCTGTATGAGTAAAGAAATCACTGAAAACTGGCCCAGTGCTGGGCCGGTGTTGGCCCAAATCCGCAAACCGGATCTGTACCAGTATTGGCCCACTGTGCAAAAGGACACAGGGCCAGATCCGTTTTACGGACCTGGGCCGGAGCTTTCGGATGATTTGTGCCGGATCCGGGCCAGATCATTTTTGCTATCTGGCCTTCTGCCCAATGACAGCTGGGATAGGCTCCAGCCCCCTACCGCGACCCAGAAGGATAAGCGGTTTAGATGATGGATGGATGTTCTGTATTAAAACATTAGGTTATGAAAAGATACAAACACACACCTTTCCCCTGGGAAAAAAAAGTTTTTAGGGTACACTATTGGACCTTGAATCCTTGTTGTATCTTTGAAGGTATAGTTACATTGTTTGTACCTTGACAAACGAAAATGTACTTGCACAGTACCTTTATTTCTGACAGTGTATCATGTAAGAGTCATCTTCGTGCTAACCTGCTTTTGGGAAACCCAGTCCAGAACAGATACCATTCGTAAAGGCACGGTGACTGAAACAGTTTGCTTTATTATAAGGGATAAAGAAAAGTTGGAAAATATGGTTATTATATAAAAATGAATTACGACTGTTTTCAGTACATAAGCTCACACAAATGTCAGAAGCAGACCGTTGGAAGGACTACGGCTGGCTGTGGCCTGTTCTCTTGCAGTAAAGCCCCACAGCAGCA